TCTTCGAACTCGATCGAGACATTGTTAAGACTGAACTGTGTAGAAAATTTCATCGCGATTGGACTCTCCTTTCAAAAGTTATCGTGTTAACGGCCGGACGGACACACAGACCGATTCTAGGTGTACTCACTTTTTGAGTACACAAAAAAAAATACAACTAAAAGATTTCTATCGTAAAATGACCTGTCGTCTAGAAACACGATCAAAGGAATATGAATAGATATAGAAGACAGCAAAAGATGATTTAATAAAATCGTTTTTAAGTTCTCACTGTTAATACTATTTACATTTCAATCAAACATAAATAATTTTGAAAGCTATCTTTATTTTTCTTTGTTTAGTTCAATCGGTATATGACATAACAGTTGGTTTTAAAAAGACTGGAGCCGAACCGACACTTATTAGTATATTAAAAGGACGTACTTGTCAAGCAGAAATGTTTATTAGGTAAGTTTGATTGCTTATTATGATTCGAATTAATTATAGTTCTTTTTATTAGACGTTTTCCAATTTCTGAAATACCTACAGATACTGAAGGATCTAGTAATTGGATTCATGAATTATATCGTGAAAAAGATAAAATATATGATTATTTTGTTCAACATAATACTTTCGAAGGAAATGGTTTACCTCGAATTGAAATTCCACGTAACTATTATGATTTATTAATTCAACTTGGATGGACAATTATTATTGGTATACCATCAATTATTTATTTTTTTCAATTTCTTTGGACAAGTTCATTACTTGCTCAAATAATATTTGTTATTATAATATGTATTGGTAAGAAATTTTTCTTATTATTTAATTCATAAAGTAAATGATTGAATTATGAATTTTTTTGTTTTTAATAGCAACTATTGGTGTTCGAACAATGATTGCTATAACAGAAACTGAACGAGGTTCTCATTATGGTGAAATAAACAAAGAGGATTAATTTCAAATATTTTCTAACATTATTCTTGTTTTGTTTTTTTTTTATTATCGTTCAACGTGATATTTGGCTCACAGAATTGAATAGCTGACTATTGAAAAATAACTATTGCTTTGTGCATTGTTAGTTTTTGTTGAGAATATATTTAAATTTTCTACATTTACTATTCAAGCATATTTTGTACAGTGTCAGATTCTTTATGCGTTATGTTTTTTTTTTTTTATAATTAGATTTGGGGTAATTATCTGTCATTCCGTTCAAATTTAATTACAGTTAGTCTTTCAATTTCTTTAGAGAAAAAGAAAATCATAAGCAGTTTTTTTATACAGAGTAGACTGAGAAAAAAACTATGAACACCTATAACTATCATGACAAAGTTGTTGCTTATCAGTTTTAGTTAAAAAAGAAAGTCATCTAATCATTAATGAAATTTGCAACTGAGACGAAAATCATTCCTAAATTTTTTAACTTGACGATTAACCTCATTAGTATCCAACTAATTTCATATTAAATAGCTATCATCAATAATACTCAACATCATTTCTATATCACATATAGATACATTGTTGCATAGCTACTTGATATGAAATACTCAAATATTACTGAGTTCAATCGGGAAGTAAAAAATGTGAGAACTATTTTCATCCCAGCAGTGCCAATCGGTAATTTCATCAATGGTAAAAACGACCTTCTTTGTTAAATAAAAATGATATGCAACACTTATACCATGATAAATATATGTATATAGTTTTTAGAGTGAAAATATTGAATGAATAAGTTTTTTTTTGGTTCACCTTCTCATGTGCACAGTTGTTGCTATTCCTTTACATCGTTTGTGATCTAACTTTTTTTTTTTATCTCTTTTGTTTTCTTACTGTTATTTGATTGCACAATATTCATTTTTGTTTGGTTTTTTTTACTCTTTTCATTTGGTTTAGACAAGAGAAAGTGTTAAATGGTTTGTTCTCTCTGTGTGTGTATTTAAAGGAGTTCTGAATTTATTTGTTTGAATATTATACGGTTAAATTTATTGGTCATATGACTCATAAATAATTTGAAAATTCAAATAACTAGTGTAGAAGAGTATTGCTAAAAACAAGTAAAACTAGTGAATTTTTTTCTTAGAAAAATAAGAATCTACTAGAAAGAAAGTAAAGAAGAGTATACAATATGAAACATACAGTAAAGGTTGGACGCCTCTTGAAAAATGTTTGATCAGCTTTTTCAATAATAATAATTTACTCTACTATATCATTGAAGAAAATGATATGGACCAATCGGATTTTCACATGTTGCAAATTCGAACATATAATTTTGTTCAGACTCGGTAACTGCAATACGATCGACGGATATTTTGTACGTTGAATCAGCTGCAATCATGCGATCATTCAAATCGACTTTCGTATGTACATCATAGTTCGTCAAGTTTTGCATGTAGTTCTCCATTTATCAATAGAAAACTCTATGAACTTGAGCATTATTCTGCAAAAGAAAATAATTTGCTTCAAATGCTTACGTTCACTATTGCTCATAGAAGAGAAAATATGTATTCTCATTGGAAACTCATATATATATTAACAAAGCATTGCAATATATTTTAACATTGAAAAAATGTCGTTCATTCATTTTAATAAAGAACAGTTTCTTTTTGTAAATGACAGTGAACTGTTTTGAATTTAACAAGCTTCAAATAAAATAAATGCTGCAATAGTTTACAGCTTAGAATCAAAATCGTTCATGTGTCTCAACACAAAAAGCAGTGCTGACCGTTATATATGTAGAGACTAGTCAATTTGATCATCTCCACGGTCACCATACTTAATACTATTGCGCTTTTTGTGGGTACTAAGATCGGTTTGTTATGTTTGTTCCAAATCTTGATCGCATTAGGGGCTGTATTAACAAGCTTTTTTGACGAAGTCTTTGCTCAACAAGAGATCTTTCTCTTTATTCATAAGTTATACACACCACGTGTATTCAATTGTGAATGTCATAAAAAATTCTTTACATATGATAGACAGACAAATGTCATTAAGAGAAAAGATGTGCATATATACAAGCGGATCATGACACGAAATAAAGATACCTTCATCATCGAGAATTATACGATAGCCAGTATGTCAGTTTCAGCTCTTTTCTCTAGTAATACAGATAATTTATTCGATGCGATTGGTCATTAAGAAAAAGGACGCACAAATTAGATCATCCTTTCGAATAATATTTCTCATCCAATAGTAATAGGCATAGACACATCATAGAATTGTATTGTACATGCTACTGATGATGAATAGATAGACTCGAAATTATTAACTATCAATATGAATTTTTGATTCATTGAATTATTTCATGGCAAACGTTTATCGAAGAGATTCGATGAGCGAACATCAATTTCAAACTGATATCCAAGTTGTTCGAATCAACTGTTAGTAGAAATGAGTTGACAACATTCCGATTTATCGGGTTTGCACCTTGATTGATTATGCTGTCATCAATTAGAAAACCTAATCTATTTAATCACATTCAATGAAGATAGATTTCTATTGAAATTCGATCGCCTACGGAAATATTGTCATGCATTATTCTCGCCAATAGGAACCCATCATGAATTACACTGGGCTGATTTGAAAATGTTATCGTGCCATTCAATCGACGATTTTGTCTCTTAGGGTGGATGTGAGTGAACAGGAAATCCACACCCACTCTTCGCTGTTTCCTGAAGGACACTATGTGATAAAATTCTTTTTTTTTCGAAAATCTATTTCCGAACTGTTTTTATTTTCTTCCTAAAAGAACGAATGAGATAAAACTTTTTTTTTCTAAAATACCCGTTTTTCAATTATCTCTTTTCTTTAATTCAAAAAATAATATGCATTAAAAAAATCAACATACTGAAAATAATCAAAGCGCTGAACATACCAGTGCGGAGTCGATTAGAATCAAAAGTAATAAATTAATATTTAAATGATTATAATTGGTTGCGCTTGATTTTATCCGATTATAATCTGATGTTTTGCAAATCTTTTTTTTTTTACATGGGATTGTGTGTGAATGAATCGAGCGTGATGATGTGCGTTGTGTAGATAGCTAGAAAAATTGTTAGAGACAGTTTTTGATACAATGTCGTGCATTCATCTGTATCTTTCTCTCTTGATGCAAGAAGCAAAAGATACGACAAATACTGGATATCGCAAAAATAGTCTACCACAATTGTTTTATATCCTCCGAGTTTTTTTATTTGATAGGAAAATGTGGCGAATTTTATTTTTATAAACGTTTCTCATATACTGTTTAAAAGTGTCACTGCTCACATCGATATAAATTTTCCATCTTCGTATACTATGAATCAGAACATTTACTACTGACTCAGATATTTCTATCTGCATATTGGCTTATTTGTTTAAGCGATACTCTGAAGATGTGCGTATTTTTTAGCGTATTTCGCTTTATTTTTTCTTCATTAAACACTGAGAAATAAAAGTAAAAATGACTGTATCTTCAACAAATGGTGAAGAAGACCATCTTCTAAATAGTTGAAGAGCAAAAAAGATATGTGTTAGTATAAAATATGCTCCACACAATTTTGCAATATCTCATAATTTCTATAGATATATTTTACTTTCTATACATATTTATTTCATAATTTTTCCGATGGATAACAGTTCGATAACTGCAATAGAATCAACTGATCCAGAGCCTATTATTTTTACCGAACAGGTGATCGATGAGTTTATTGAAAATGAAATTCAGTAAGATTTTCCTGGTGCTGCTCTTATCATAACTTGATGTGGTAAAATACTAAAACAAATCGTATTATGGTTATAAATTAAAGTATGATGAAAATGGAACCATTATAAAACAACCACAATTATTAATATTAGAAACTATGTTCGACTTGACATCATTAACTAAAATGTATTCTACAAATTATGCACTTATGCAACTGGTTAAACAAGAAGTATTGAGCGTTGATGATCCAGTTATAAAATATATACCACAATATTGTGGATGTAATCCTGAAAACGAATGTCGTGAGACGAGATTAGTAAAAGACTTATTGATACATACAGCTGGATATGCTCCAAGTGTTGAGTTTTATGATCCAGGAAGAGTTTCACCAGATTTATTCTCAGTAGATAAGCATAAAACTGAAGAAATTATCACAACAAGATTGGAAGATTTCAAGAACCGAGAAACGGCTATCAATTACCAGTGTATTCTGATATTGATTATATGATATTAGGTTTAATTGTGGAACGTGTAAGCGGGATGTCAATTGACCAGTATGTAAAAATTAACATTTATCAACCACTAGAGGTGAAGTTCATGATGAAAAGTCATTTTATTTAATGAATGGTTTATCAGAATATGCTTGTTTATTTTCAAATTTAAATGACATGACGATTCTAACTCAAATTATGTTAAATAATGGATCTTATGGAAATACTAAATTTTGAAGTGAAAATGTTCAAGACTTATTTTTAACGCCATATGAACATGATCCAACATTCGGATTAGCATGGCGTCTAAATCGTAACAAATCTTTACAGTGGTTCGGTCTCTAGACATCTGATGAGCATATATATGGCCATAGAGGATGGACAGGTATATGCACCGTTATTGATTAAAAGTATTCAATGACTATTATTTTATTAACGAATAAACGACATACACCATGTATCAATGGAACTTTCGACAGTGAACAATACGAGACAGGAAAATATGGTAAAATAATGACATTAGTCTATGAGTCAATGTTATTATACCAACACTCATCTATGAAACTTTGAACATTTATTATGAACTGTTAAGGTGACCGAAGGAGTTTATCATTGTGTTTTTTAATGGGTAATAATTTGAATAAGAACTCTATTAAGTTTACAGCAGCTTTAAAAGTATATTTTAACATTCATTTAATAAATTATTTTGAAAATTAGTACAAAGGATATTAATCAAGACAGATGTATAATGAGTAATAAGCATGTAATAGGTAAAGAACGAAAAGA